TTTTATATTAATTTAATTATAATAACTATATTATTCATTAATTTTTTTTTATTAATTTTTTGAAACTATTAAATTGAATATTTTAGCGTAAATTAATATTTACTCTAGAATGTGCAATATTGCGTAATAAGATCTGCATGCGTTTAGAGATTACTTCATTTCTCAGTTGAATTAAATTTGGAAATGTAACAACAGTAAATTTCTAGGTATTATATATCACCACGCTGATTCAGCTAATTTCTTTCCATCTACATTTGCCTGTATCAGGTAAACTGAAAAATATATTGAAACATCAACTGACTTCAGTTCAGATGCAAAATTGTTTCGCTACGGCTTCAGGCGGATCGCTTTGTGTACCTTTGTCAAATTTACTTATTAAATGCCAACTACAGCAAACACAGAGCATAGTGAGTGGGGCGCGTTGTGATCGATTTTAAAATACCCTGTGGCGAAATTACTTCAACTAAAATGACAAATAAATATATTGCATACAAATTTGTGACTTGACAAGGCCTGCAGCAAGGGTTAGTAGCTCCCGCTATCTATGGCAATGTAAATTCAATTTAGATATTTTAGATTTCGGTGGGCTGCTTCCGCCTCCGGGCACAAGGCTTCACATGCCAGGCATGCCTTGAATGTAATTCGTTGATTTCTTTTCGCGCTTGAGAGCGGATGACAAGCACAGCATTCTGTTCAATGCTCAATGCTCAACGCTGTCTGACTGATTGTCAGAGGCGCAGCAGAGATAACCCATAAGCCCGTTTGGCATTCTGCTTGCCACTGACAATTACAAAAGGCGGCTGTTACGCAGCAGCAGATGTCATGGTTGAGTCAGTTGTTACTTACCCCCCAATATGCCATTCAGATAGGTCGAGGCATTTAGGCCGCGTCCCTTCTTCATCATCAATTGCTCGTCGATAAGCAGCAGGCGCGACGAGGAGGACGACGAGGAGCCCGGGGAGGACGATGATGTTGCTGTGCCTGCTGAGAGACCAAATGGATCTGGCTTAACGGGTCCCTCGTACAATTCCATATCGTCGTGATTGCGAAACAGATTGTGCCGGGCTATCACATCTTCCATGCCAGCTCGATGGAGTTCGGGTATCAGGCGCAGCCAAATCGAGAGTTGGTGAGCCCGAAAGTGATTCTTAATGCGCGGCTTCATGCCTTCAAGATGGCCACGAGATGAGGGCATAGAAATAGAAGAGCAAACGGGAACAAAAGCGTTAATATACACAATTTTATTTCTATGTCATGGGCGGCATTCATGCATACAAATTCCAACCGGTGTTAACTACGTTGCTTACCTCACCACCCCCACCCCCCAGCCCACCAGCAACTGTTGCTGTTCTGTTTGTTATTGAGGGGCACTTTCAAGACATTTGCATGCTACTAGCCGAGCTGAGCCACTTCGCAATTGAGGACACCTCTCATCCGCATTCACCTGCTTGTCTAGTTGGATGTCTTGTTTATTTAACTGACTGAGCTGCTTAATTTTTGATGCCGTCAGTTGGGTCACACGCTGGGGCCGTCTTAGCCCATTCGCTTTTCGTTTTTGCTTTGCATGTTGCCTCCTCTACGGCTTCCGTGTCAGTTTGTTTATAAAGCAATCAAATGATATGAAATACTTATGGGGCGTTGCCTATTTACATGGCTTGGCTCTTTGATCAAACTACTTAAAAGTCGCATAGACTACGAGATGAACTATAACACTTTAAGAGACTCTCAAACTATCTGCAATACGTTTATAGTGCTTGGTCTTTAATTTATATTTTATTTAAGCCACATCAATATTCAATGGCCACAGCAAAACAAAAGTGAGAGGATGAATGAATAAATATATGTTATATATATCATTTAAATGTATTGAAAGCATATTCGTGCCACTTTCCATATAAAAGAGAAGAGGATAAGAAGCATAAGAAATCTCTGCAAACGATTCGCTCCGTTGCAATTGACGTGTCGTCTATAGAAGTCGCTGAATAAATATGGATGATGCATAATTTACGCAACAGAACTTTCAACTTTGACTTCAATGGGAGGTATGTGTGTGTGAGTGCGTGTAGGTGTATGCGCGTGCAGCTGTTCGCTGTGTATTCACATAATTCGATTTCGATTTCAGGCTTTCAGCATTTCAAATCAAAATTCACAATAATGCGTGGTCTTTGACAAACCTCGTGCAACTACATCCTTTGTGCGTATTGTATGTAACAATGCCAGAACGTTCAAAACAAATTCCAGCAAAACGCCCTTGAGCGTGGGCGTGGCGTGGGTGGATGGGTGGGCGATATGGGTGAGTGCTTGAGATGTCGTTTCTGGTCTTGCGTTTTCAATTAAAATCAAACAGAAATCGAGTTATATTTCTTAAGGGCGCAGCAGGGCGTGTGCGTGCATGTATTTCCCAACTACACTGAGGTGGATTTGTGTGACGTGGATGTGGACTAAACAGAGCTCGATATGAAGTAAAATACACGTGTTGGCCTCTGCAACTGATTTCCTTATACATTTTATCGAAGCCTTATAAAAGAAGGAACTTTTTTGTTCTCTTTTCCGGCTGATACACAGATACCATCTGGATAAAGGGCTTTCAAATTTCATTAGAATCGCTGTAAAATTTTGATATACAAAATTTGAATGGCTGTCTGTCTGGGCTGCTGCTGTTGATAGACACACACGACGTGTGACAAATGCGAAGTTAATAACATTTGCGCACATTTAATATGACGCGATGGTAACATTCTAAAGGGCACAGACAGCTTTATATGCTCAACATTGTCGGACACCCTACAAAAGAAACTAGCGGGCATATTAGCCGTATAGAAAATCTAGTTTGAGGAAGTTGATAAGGCAAATC